CATTAAGCATGGATCATTTTTTCATTTTTATTGAGGGCTAACCATAAATTATATTTATTTGAACTGAATCTTTAATTTTAATAGTTGCTTTTCAAGTCTTAATATTTGAGTTTAATTGATCATAAATTTGATTTTTATCAACGATTTGAAAAAAATCTCATATTCTCCAAAATTCTCTCGTGTTAAAAAAAAAAAAGTTAAAAAAGACAAAAAAAAATATTTTTAATAAATCAAGGATACATCAAGATTCATTAAATTAAATCAAAAGACTCTCCTTCCTCCATGGATTGACTCCCACAGATTAGACAAAAACAGTGAAACAACTTGCAAGTTCGGGTGCATATCAAGTAAATATAGGGACATAAACCCGCCTTCTCTTCTTTGAGATTCCACAAAAATGTACTGTCTTTATCTTTCTTCTTTTTTTTTTTCTTTTTAACATGGGGCAATGCGGGAAATGGGGATAATTTGATGACTATTGCAATGGATGAAATTCTAGTAAATGTTAGGAATTGAATGCATTTGAAATTTGAATCAAAATAGTCAAAATTGCAGGTGCGTATTGCTATTATCTTTAAATTTATTAAGAAAACAAAAATTAATTAAATCCCCTTGCGAGGAGGAGAAAGGGACAAGCAATATTATAAGAAAAGATATTACTCAAGGTCTGTACCCAAAGAAAAATATGATAACCAAAGAAATAATTATAGTAAAGGATTAGTTTGTTTAGTTGTTTGTATTGTAAAATAAGAATTATTAAATAAAAAATTTTATAATATTTATTTTAATAATTTATATTATACAAATAACTTAAATGTATCATTGGTAATTTTCTTCTGTTAAAAATAAGAGACTTTCAATTTGAGTTTAATGATATGTGAGTGAGATTGGATAAAAAATAAGAGATACGAGACGACTGTTTTATATTATGCAATTAAAATAAAAAAAATAAATTATATAATTTAAAATATTTAAATTGCACAATTTTTTTTAATTATATATTAATGAAAACTTATTAAAAATGCAAGTATGACATCACAGTAGCTAGTGCCTAATAAGTGATTTTTTTTAAATTTTAAATTATAAAATAAGATATAATTTTCTCTCATTCTTTTACTTATTATACCCATACATTCCTTTACCATCTACACTAAATTTGTGGCTTGTGTCATATTTGTTGTGCCAAACTATAAATTTTTTATACAATTTATATTTTGATCAACTAATTGTTGGATTTAAAGACTTTATATTTTTTATGGCAAAAATAAAAACCTTATATTTACTTTAATATTGGTTACGTTCATTTGATTATTTTATTTATCCAATACGAGTACTTGAAAGGTGCCCCCTTCCTCACAAAATTATAAATGTGAATACTTAAAAATCATATGAATAAATAAAATTAAAAAATCATGAATAAATGTTACCAAAAAAAAATGAATTAACATATAAACTTGAGAAGGAAATTATTAATTTCCGTAAAATTAATATCTCCATAAAATCAATAATTTTTTACATAATAGTAGAGACATAAATTTTAGGTGTAACGTCCACTGCATTTTTTAAATTTAACTTTCACATACATGCGGTTTACTAATTGAAAATACTAGAAGTAGATACATATCACATTATCACCCATTACATGAAATCTTGAATCAATCTTCATCATTCAACTTTATCAAAAAATAAAAATAAAAATCTTCATCATTCAACAGATCTGCAGTAAATGTTGACAACAATTTTAGTACGTGCTAACTAAGAAGGATGTTTATTATTATTAATTTTTAAGTGGGAAATTAAAGCGACTCAAAAAATGACTTTATTATGTTAAGTTGATTGTTAATACTTAATTTCTTTTTGTTTGGACGATTATAGTAATTTGGGTTTCAAGACTTATTTTCGGACAAGGTGCATTTTTTTTATAGAGTCACATCGATCTGATGCATTTAATCAAACTAATATTTTTGAGTGTTAGTTTTAAAAGTAAAATTTTAAATTTGATATATAAAATAATATTTATTTATTAGGAAATTCAACATCTTACCATTATTGTAAATACTTAATAATAAACGAATAAACAGGTTAAATCAATGAGTTCGAATTGGATTTATCTTAGATTTTGAATTTATTGGGTTGGATTATTTTGATTTCAAATTAAAGAAATAGCTCTATAACACACCTACATTAGTCTTAGATTGAGTCAAATGGACTTAACTTTTTAAAAAATTAAAATTAAAATTATTCAATATTTTTTATAATTTTTTTGAAAAAATATTAATTATTTATTTAATCAAAAAATCTCTTAAATAAATATTAACATAAAAAATCTAATAAAAATGATTATTTTATAGTATTTAATTTTATCTTATATTTAAAAATAAAAAATAAAAATATAATTAATTAAAATTTTAAATCTTAAAATTTAAGTAATTTTAATCAAATCATTTTGACTTAACCCAACTAACCTTAATCCAACTCAATTGGATTCCAAAAATTTTGGTCAGGGTCTTATCAAATTCATCATGATAGATGCCTTGGGCCCATGATCCTACCATGAATTAGGGGTAAACAAAACAGTCGTATAGGTAAATTATAAGTTATATTTGGTACTTGACTCGAAAGTTTTAATGTATAATTTTTTAAATTTGATATTTATTCAAATGCTTGAAAACTTATATTTAGTATACATAACCCATCACATACTAAGTAACATGCAAATATACGTTTATTTACTTAGTTTAAGGAAAAAAGAGGTCTTGTATTAGTTGCTAGTGGAAAAAAGAGGTTTTGTTATTTATCTGAGTTAATATTATTGCATATGTGATTTATTTGGCTTAAGCTTTATTTTTGTTTTTTTTTTAATTATTGTTATTATATAGATATAAAGTACAATAAGTGTAGGTAAAAATTTAATTATATAAGAACAGACGACAAGTCAATTAAATAAATCGATTAAACAAGTTAAATAAATAATTCTGAACTCTTATATTTATTACTTAAGTTACTTACCTCATTTTTTTACAATTTGAATATAATACTTATTCAAACAAATAAAGTACTTATAAGTAATGAATATACCCATATCCAATACTCACCTCTATGCATAGCATATGAATTGGGTTAAATTTTTAGAATGGTCCAATTTTACCCGGTCTACTTAATAACAATGTTTTCCTGCTAGCAAGTTGGTTGATCTAAGGACCATCCGTGCAATTAACCACACAAAATAAGAAATAACAACAAATACTTTTGCATTCCCCTGTTGTGACTCATTAGTGGCCACTGTAACCCAACAAAATTGCCAGTGGATTGTATCATGACCAGTGGTCGAATCTTGTCAAAGAGTAAGATACTAACTTTTAACTTCTAACTTTTAATCATTACCCTTGTTAAAAAAAAAAAAAAAAAGAAGATGAAACTTTTGTCTTAATTTCAAAAGAATTTTCCCGTACCTTATCTTCATGTCTTTTTGCGACACAGTGGTTCAACATTTTTGACTTGGCTTGGAAATTTCTACAACATGTGATCTGTAGGCTAAGGAAGGAGATTAATATGAAAGAATTTGGTTATATATCATTGTCAATGTTACTATAAATTAAATGTTTAACTATGGATATTGGACCGCTAGGGGGAGACAGAGACAGATAAAGACACTACAGCCTCCTCTCGTATGCTTGTAAAGTTGTAATTAAAAATATTTAATTTTATTAATTACTTAAATAACTTAGTGATTATCTCATTCTACTAGAAGTAAAAGGTCATGAATTGAAGTCGCATGACATGCGAGTAGAGTAAGATAAGAAATGGAAGATGATTGCCTCCCATTATACAGTTAAGATAATATATATATATATATGTTTAGTCTCATTTTGATTTAAGTTTTTAAGGAAATAACTGTTTGCAGGATGGCTAACACGGCAAGGAAGGGAAGCTGCAAATGGAAGGATCCATGTTTACTTTTATACTTTAATGTGGAATTTTTTCCACTTAATAACAATTTTTTTATTAGCATTTTGACTTTAGAGATGTAATTGGTACTAAAAATAAAAAACAAAAAAAGATGTGAGGAAAAAAGTATGATAAAAGTTTGAATTCTTATATTAAAAATTAAAAATTCAAATTCTGTGATAGGTGAAAAAGAGAATTAGGAAACAGAGATTTATCATTATTATATACCCCATTATCTAAAAACTATATAAATTTTGAATTAATTGAAGTGGTTTTGGAATTTAGGTCTTTGTTTAAATCTTAGAACATGGGGTGAGAAGTAAGGAAAAAGAAATATTATTAGATTCACCAAAGAAAATTGAATAAGTTGGGGGTTTTGCCGTGGGCCTCTAAAACTATTTTTGTGAACTTCAGAACTTGGGATGGATTGGACAAGGCCTCAACTCCCAAAGGGCCTCTCTGCGTCTGTGCCATGGTAAAAATGATTTAGAAGGCCCGGATCATGAAGTTGATGGAATTTGCGCTTGGGCCAATGCATCTTCTTTGCAATTTAGGGGTGAACATTGGGTATGGATATGCTGTTATTTATAAATATTTTATTTATTATATTTAAATTGTAGAAAAAATAGGAAAATTATGGATATAAAAATTATTAATATATCTATAAATATCAAGTTAAATAACAAACATAAGAGTTCAGAATGTTTACCTAACTTATTTAATTGATTTGTTTGATTTACATGTTACTTATATAATTAAAATTTTACATATACTTATTATATTTATTATCCATATAATCACAATAATTTTTAAACATAAAAATAATAAAATACAAAAAATAGAAATAAAAGTTAAGTAAGACTTATAAGCCAAATACATAACAAGTAATGATAGAATTTTATATTAGACATTTTGTTTCTTTAAACAAAGAATAACTATATGCCTGCAAGTTACCCATTACCTCTTGGGTTAAATATCAAATATAACTTTTCAAGTATTTGGGTAGGTATCATCTAAAAAGCTATACCT